CCAACTCTTGGGCTACTCTTTTACTAACGGATAGTGGGATTGACCGTCAAATTATAACGCCCCCACGGCTGAAAGGGCGAGCATGTTTGGTGGGATGGGGATGCGAACCCGCAGATTGCGAATCGAGCGTCCTAACCACCTGGCCATGCCGGGCTAGTTGGAGAGAAGAGAAAAATTGAATAAGATATAAAAAAAAAAGCTCTCTCTTTCTCTTTTTAACACACACGCATAGCGTCCGCCTCTCAGTATACCGTTGCTATTTACGTATGAAAGATTATTATTTCTTGCATTTTGAATGTAAATATTTTCTCGGTTGGCTGAACCACAGCGCGCGATAGTAAGTCGAGGGTGTTCATGAATAATAAAGAAGCTTTTCGTGAAAACTTTCAACTTTTTCATGTAAATTCATATGTCATCAATCAAAACACGTGTTTCTAATTACAGATTCTATGTTTGTGTTAGGAAAGCTATTCGAAGCTTTTCATGGAAGTGTATAATATATTTATAGAACATAATACTGTTAAAACTCTTGATAGTTAATGGAAGGACAGCCTATATAGCAAGAAATAATACCAGATGTGATAAAATTCTTAAAATTCTAAACTATCTTAAAAATTTCGGAACTTCTTTGAAACATTTTGGTAAGAAATTGGCAGCAAAGAACCCCCTGTTCTGTGAGGTTTAAAAATTTACAAACATCGCAATGATCCACGCATTATCATGAGCCAGATTTTTCTTAGTGGTTATAAAACAGCATTTTATGAGCATCTACACAGAATATTAGCCTTTAAACAATTTTGAAAATTATTTTGTAACTCCGGGATCTTCAAGACATAATCATTTTCATTAGTTTTGCCACTAGATGGCACTCATATTATGTGTTGGTCTTTATGACTGAGCAATGAATTTTTCTTCCTATATTTTCCTTATTTGTTTTTGTTCTCTATTCCTTCGATTGCTATAGGAGGGTTACGTATGTTACAGTTCCTAATCAATGAAAATCTGAGTTCTGAAAACGATCCGTCAATTATATTTTTTGTGATCTCATTAAGCTTTTAATCAAACCTAAAATTTCATCCAAGAAAACTTTTTTTTTCCATTCTTGGATAACAGAGTGGGGGAGTCATAAATTCTACAGATAAAAGTTCGGAATATCTCGTAAATGTCTACATTTATTCGAATGGAATTGTGATTTTCAACCTGGACGACATTTTATGCGTACTTAGATTATAAAAAGCCAGATTACAGACCTCTAAGACACAATGTAGCCGATCCTAATTTTGAACAACTGACCAGAGGGGGGGTAGGTAGCCAGCCCTTTTGCCGCCACAAGCGCCCTGTTGCTCTCTTGAAAACTAAAAACGGAATTAACAGTCACTTTTTATATCGTCCCCCCCTATTGACACAGTGGTATGTCTACGGACTTATACTACTAGAAACCGGGTTTCGATACCAGTGGTGGGCCCTTTGTGTAGCTTTTTGCTTAATAACAAACAACAACAATTTTTATATCGTGTCCACATCTGAAAGCGCGAATAATTTTTAGTGGCATCACTTCTCAAACCTTGGACCTTCGATCGTCAGCAAGGCGAGAACCACTAGGCAACGCCCATTCCACGTGTATTCGAAAAATACATTTTCACAACGAGATTCAAGTACAATAATGAATCTTCGGAGTACACTGGCAGAGGTACTGGCATTAAAGTGTTTCCGAAAAGCAATATCCGCAAAACTACTTTACGAGGAGATAAAATGTAAAGTGCTATAAAGTAATATCGAGGGCAGGAGTAATTTGTATGGTAACGACGTGACTCTAGTCGCTATAGTTTATAAAGCGAACAGTTGAATCGTCTATTTGGTATTCATGTAAGCTCGCATTCTGATAAAAAATATAAAAACCACTCGAATATTTCACACATCACACTGACTGTTCGACACCTTCTGTGCTCTGTAAAGTGGTGTGAACGTGGAGTGTTTGTGTTATCATCTTTGTTACGTCAAAAGCTTTTTCCCAACGATGGTTTCCGCCGCCTAATGGAACTGTAGCTTTATGTATGTTGGGTAAATATAGGGATGTAAAAAAAGTGGGTAACACGATGACAAGTTCTACCGTTCCTTGAGTCAGAAACAGTCAAGAAATATGCTCCTTTCGGCAACATCTTCTCTGGTAAATGCACAGCAACCTTACACAAAACTCTGCGTTTGTACTTGACATTTCAGTATGATTTGCTCCTTTTACTTTAAAAAAATATTAAACCAGGTTTTACACGTATTCTACTGAGAAAAACAGAAACCACTTCGGAAAAGATAGATCAATGTTTATGTGGAGATGTTAGGTTGATTAATATCTTCGCAGAAAGAGATATATTCATTTTGATGGTTAAAAATTGATTTATGTCCATTAATTCCAAACTACTTTAACTTATTGTATATAACACAGGCCTGCGAATTTAAACTTCATAAAAGTTTGTTTTGATTTCAATAACGGATATACTATAATTCAGGAACGCAGATTTCGAAAATAATATATTTTTTCTATCTCGTAAATATTTTTTACAAATCGGGCAGAAGAAAAACTCTTACTTAGATCAATTTATTATTTCGTTTACCACAATGGATATTTTTTATTACTATGTTAAATAAAAATACAAACAAATTGAAGGAAAGGGAAGAACATTGATTTAAAACGAATATACACCCTCATTCATCCTGATTTTGTTTGTGAAATCTACGTCTTCTAGTCTCAAAACTACGTGTTGTAGTTTTTCTTTTATGTATTGCGTTATGACGTTTTGTGAAACATCTGTACGTGATGGAAAAAAATGGATATCATTTTCAGATTCAGCGTACAGGAATTACTGTAGAACATGTAAAAATGTCAAGACAATAAAATCATCGCATGTCTTTAAATTAACGAAAATACTCTGTGACTGCGTGTGTATATAAGGCTGAACTTTATCGTCTGAGCTTACAAAATACGTACAAGGGAACGAATCTTACAAATGTTGACGTAGTTTAGAATTTCGTCTTCTTTGAGAGCATTTGGCCACATTATTTTTGTTTGTATGCGTTTCCAAACCACAAGTATTAGAAACACCGTGGACTTGTATACTTCAATATATAGAAAAGAAAGAATTAATTGCAAAGCAAGTGTAAATAACTGTTTGAACAAGCAAAAATGCCAAAATCGCAAATTAAAGGGGAAAGGTACCTCCAAACCGCACAACTTTCAGCTGATCAAACATTTTGTTAGAGATTTTGTTATTTTGAATATCCATAACACCATGTTGAAAATTTCGAATCATTATCGATTTTTTTCTTGTTTGGTTAACCACAAACACCTTAAAATCCATAACACAAACAGAGCAAGCACTGCAGAAAATGCGTTTTCTATTCTAAGTAATACTAAAGTTGAAAAATGGTAGATGCTCTATTTATGTATCTATTCGACGATGTTATTATGTTGAAAAAAATATATAGAAATTTTCGACCTTGCATGCATTTTAGTGCATTTTGTTGCCATGACTATCTTATTTCTTTCAGCACTTGGATATAGTTAAGACATAGAGTGTGTGTGTGTGTGTGTGTATGTGTATATGTACATGGCATGCATTTTATAAGTAATGGAAAATAAACCACATTGTTTAAAGCGCCATCTATTAGTTCCTCTGAATATTAGCTTAAAATACATTTGATAGAGTGAAATTCAAATTACACTGGTTAAAAAAACATATAGATAAATCTAATAGGTTTCATATTTTTAATGTAGTTATATTATCTTATGAAAGAGGGATGGTACAAATAACGTTTCGTTTTAAACTATCTCCTTTATTTGCTGTACGGTTACAAATATCCCGGGTAGTATGTTCGTTTCTTTGTTATTGTTAAGCGCAAAGCTACAGACGGGGCTGTCTGTGATTTTAGCGTTATGAGCCCACAGACTTACTACTGAGCTGGATAACATGTTGAATCGCATTTCATAATCATATACTGCTATTGGCTTCATAAACGTATGTTTTTAAACTATCTGTGCTCAATTGCTTGTAATGAATGACATTGTTGGTTACAAAAGTCCCTATAATATATGAATTATACACAAAATGTAAACAAAAATACCATTAATACTGCACTTGATTCCATCAGTTATGGTTAAGTATATACAGACTAAAGTCAGTAGTTTAAAAAATAACATTTAACTTGGTATTGTCATCTGATGCGTATTTATATGACAACATATATAGAAAATGTCTATGATAATTTTATTGCTTAGCAAAGCACATGTTTATTAGTCGGAAATGTTATGTTTTCTCATTTGTAGTTATACCACAAGAGGGCCCTACCATCGAAGGCATACAACCAAAGTACGACGTTGGCGATTACGTAAATATCACATGCATATCATTTCCATCTCGACCATCATCTGATATTCACTGGTTTATCAACAGAAAAGAGGTGTTTCTATTTATTCTGTTATCTTATTATTATTCTTTATTTAGTCAACAATGGAATATTTGTCATGAAAATCAGTAACAGTGGAAGTCAAGTAAATAAAAACGCAACTAGAACAACTAATTCGTTAAAACGTACTGAAACTGGAGACTAAGAGAAGATCCAGAAAAGGCTGGATATGACTGATTCAGTGATTGTGATTTATAGAATATAATGATAGTTACTATACTACAAAATATAAGAAAAAAATAAACTCGTTAGATGAAGTAAAAATGGATATAAACGATATAAATATTTCTGTAAAGTCTGTGTTAGCAAAGTATTAACACAAATAAAACACCCAGAAAATATGAAGATGTTAAAAAAGGATGTGGAAAGTTTGAAGTTTGATAATACTCAAAATAGTAACTTAACTTCAAAAATACTGATCAAAGTTAATACTGTGGAACAGTATGAATAAATAATACAACAAGATAACAAGGAACTAAAAGATATACAAAGGGTGGCTAAAGAGTTTAATATACCAGATTATGGAAAAAAAGATGAAATAATAATGGCTCATAGAATATCTGTCCATGATAGCTAAAACGATATATAGCACCTATAACAGTTAAATTTAAAAGTGTGAGAAATAAGAAGAAAGTGGTTAAAGAAAGTAATTCAACAGAATTTGGGAGAAGGCACAGTTTATATAAATGAAAATCTAACAGTTGCTAATGAAGAATTTTCTTGGAAGGCTAGAAAATTACTGAAAGAAAAACAATATAAATTTGTTTGGACAAAAAAAATGGTAATGTGTTTGCAAGGAAATCAGAAATTGACAGTGTAATAAATTTTAAATTGGATATCAATTTGGAAATATGTAATTTAACATTTTTTCATTTTTTGTTGTTGTAATCTATGGATATTATTCTGAGAAATTACGAATACATTTCTATAAACTGTAAGTGTAAATTAGAACAATTGAAGGTGATATTTTGAATTTGCTACGTATAAATATGATTAAAAAGTGGGATGATTTTTGTAAAGTTGCTGGTGAAATTTTGACAATGTTAGATAGTTTAATAATCACAGAGAAATTCTTAAAAGAACATGAAATCCAGGAATTTCAAACATCTTTAGAAATAGTGAAATTAAGTTTGTAAGATTCAGAAATATTTTTGTTAAATATTGAGGTAGATAATTATAAATTGTTATTACTTCCAGTTTATAGACCTCCTAATTATAATTCTTATCATTATATCACCAGAAAAATTATAAGATATAAGCATATAGTATATCTTGGTGATATAAATATTAATATCAAGAAAGAAATAATGAAAAAAGTAATCTGATAAATGACTATCAAATTTTATTACATTTTAATAGATTTCAGCAAAATATAAATGTTAAAAGAAGATCAGAACGGAGAAGTGGAAAGTTGTTTAATAAATGTAAAATATTATGTGATCAAGAAAAAAATATCACATCATAGGATGATACTGGTAAATTTAATAAGCAATTTAAAGACAATAAAACAAGCTATAAAAAGAAATATAGATAATATTAATGATCAGTAAAATTTAAATAAATAGTGTTATAAGTGATATAAAAATTGTAATTGGAAAATAAACTTAACCCTAAAAGAACCTGAGGCTATGTACAAAACTTGGTCACTGTGTTAAATGAAACTGAAGGAAAAAATATGTTTGAGATTAAAATAAAAATAGGAATACACAGCATAAACCCAGGATAAATTCTGATATTTTAAGAGAAAAAGATAATTTATGCCATAAGTATAAGAGCAGAAGAATGGAATAAATGAAGCAAAAAAAATCTATAAGGTTTTATAACAAAATCTAAAAAGAATTACTATATGACAACATTTTCTAATATTCAGGATAATATGAAGGAAACTTGGAAATGAATTAATGAATTAGTAGATAATTATGTTAGTGAAACTTTATGATTACAAATATAAGTATTACAGATTTAGCAATGAATTTTAATAAAGTATTTATAAATATGATAAATACTCTAAAAGGTATTCATAATAATGAAAATAATAATAACTATATTACAAATAGAAATACTTATCTTAAGAGTGTTTTTTCACATATTATTACAATTTATTTCCCTACAGTAACAGAAAAAGAAGTTATTAATAGAGTAAATTTAATGGATATTAATAAAGGACCAGGAATTTATAGTATGCAGTTAAGGTACATAAAACCAGGTATTAATTACTAGCAAAGATTATAACATGCATGTTAAATTAATCTATGAAGAAGGAAAATACCTGATAGATTTAAAGTAACAATGATAAAAATTACTTATAACTCACGAATAGAAGAAAAAAAAAAAAAAGAGTTCAATAATTATAGACCAGTTTCACTATTACCTGTAATGGATAATGTAAAAGAGAAGTATGGAGTTATAAAGAATAAAAGTACCACATCTCTCTAAGAAAATTTTTCAAATGATGTAAATTTACAATTAGATAAAAATAAAAAGTACTTCTGTTATTTCTTGATTTAAGTAGGCCTTTTGATACATTAGATTATAAAATACTACTGAATGAGTTATACATGATGGATAGAAGGGCAAAGCTATATAATTGGTTCATAGTAGTAGGGTTGCGGTCAAAAGAATTTGGAAAATAATTAGTGATCCAATGACTATGAAATATGGCATTCCACAGGGTTCTATTTTGGGTTCAATACTATTTAATCTGTATGTTAATGATATTGTAAACATAGGTTTAAACATCAAAGTATATCAGTATGCAGATGATAAAATCCAAATGCAACTCATGTTGATCTGGAAGCAGACAAAATCCTACAAGTTGATTTTAATAGATAAAGTATTGGCATAAATATAAATGAAATCTACATGAATATTTATAGCATAAAAACTATGAGAATTCACTCACAATATATAGATATTTTTAATAATAGCTTTTTACAGTCTCGTGATTAAATATGTAATGCTAAATATGAACATTTATTTATAGAAAATAAACAGTATTATGATTGTAATTGTATGTATATTAAAAATGTTAACACTAAGACATAGTTAAGGCCAATTATAGATAATGTTTTTAGTGATCTACAATAAATTAAGACATTAGTATTACATCAAAATTACGGAGTATACAGGATATTTTTCCAATTCATTTTTAAAATTATTTTACGTATATTTAGCATAATCTGTTATTGGTAATGGATTGACAGTATATGGCTCAACATTTAAAACTTACATAGAAAAATTAAATATAATTCAAAAAAGAATGTTTAAGTTGATAATTTGAAACAAAAATGATGCATTTAATATGAATGAAAATATAACAAGTATAAATTTCTATTACAGTACAAATAATAAGATACTAAATCATACGTATAATACTACAACATTAGAAATAAATATTATGAAATTTCACATTACATTAATAACTACGTAAAAAAAAAATTACCATATTATATATGTATATATAGATTAGGTCGTCAAGAAATTAATGTCGCGTTTTGGAACACTTTCATTACCCAACCCCCCAAGACGTACATCACGTATAATAGTTAAACGAACCACCTAAACGTCACGTTAGTGTAGCCTACATAATGTGTAAAGTTTAGTGTACTCTAATCCCTTTTAGTGATGGCAAACGATGAGACACACATTCGGTATGTAATGCTGTTTCAATACAAGAAAGAAAACAACACCTCTGTAGCCACAAAGAATATCAGAGAAGTTTATGAAAATATTTTGAACGTTCGTAAGTGTGTCAACGATGGTTCAGCAAATTTCGTTTAGGTGATTTTAGTTTTAAAAACTGTGATGGCAGGGGCCGACATGTTGGAATTGATATTGATACTCTGAAGACGCTTGTTGGGTCTAACCCAAAGCAACACACTCGTGAAATGGCCCTGAAATTGCATGTCTCTTACGAAACCATACGTTAACATCTAAGGAATATGGGGAAATTCCATAAAGAAGGTGTTTGGGTGCCTCACGAACTCTCCGACGATCATCGTTTCCAACGTGTGAATGTTGTTTTGATTCTTCTGGCGCGTAATACGCGTGAACCATTTTTGGAGAGAATTATCACCGGTGATGAAAAATTGATTCTCTATGCGAATATTAAACGCCAAAAACAATGGCTCGGTCCTAGACAAAAACCACTTCCGACCCCAAAACCTGGACTCCATCCGCAGAAAGTGATAATTTGCATTTGGTTGGACATCAAAAGAGTAATTCATTTCGAACTCCTCAGTCCACGGCGAACTGTTAATGCAGAGATCTATAGTCAGCAAGTGGAACGTTTAAATCAAGCCCTTCATCGGAAACGCCCTTAACTCGTCAATCGGAAAGGTGTTCTTCTTCTCTACGACGATGCAGGTCCACATGTGGCACATTTGACGCAACACAAGATTATGGAGTTAGATTGGGAAGTTCTCTCCCATCCACCATATTTTCCAAATATGGTACCATCGGATTACCATCTTTTTTGCTGCAACACCATCTTAATGGGAAAACGTATGCAAATGTGGAAAGTGTTAAAGAGGACGTTGACATGTTTTTTGCTTCAAAGCCAAGTGATTTCTTTAATCAGGGTATTAACAACCTGAATATAAGATGGAAAAGCATCATCGATAAGAACGGAGACTATTTCATTTACTAAATGTTTTATTTTGATATATAAGTTGTTCG